ACCTCGGCTTCGCCTCGGCCAACAATTACATGTGGTCTGAGACTTTTCTTATTTTACTGGCCTAGGTATGTAATATACTATTTATATTATATTTATGATAAACTCATATGATACATTAAGTGGATCATAGAATCATTATTGTCTAAGATAGCAGCACAGCAGACAGAAACTTCAAGATGCACGGAGATCACCAAAGTTAAGCAGCATTGAGTAGGGTTATTAGTTGGATGGGTGACCGCTGGTGTTATAGCCATAAAATTAGATCTAGATATTTTTTTTTGCATTTTGATCGGTTACACAGAATTGCGTAGGACCATATTAAATACTCTATCCGTAAAATTAACCCAATAATTAATTAGATGTAATAAATCTATAATTAAATATTGTTATATATAGTTATATATAATTATACATAATTATATATAATTAGATATGATTATATTTGGCCATTTTTCATATATAATCATATATAACCAATTTATATATAAATATATATAATTATATATAAATATTTTTTCTCGGGTAGGTATGGAATTAGCGGGAAGTTGCAGGGATGGCCTTTAGGGTCTACCGTTTTTCTAATTTTTTTATTGAGAGAATAAAAAAAATTTCTTCCCTAGGTTTTCAATCACTCACGTTATGTTTTTCTTGATAAGTAATTAAAAATTTTCATTCAAATGTGCTGTTAATTAGCTAAGAAATTATTATCAATTATTATCTAGTCAATTTCAATTGATAAATAAAACGCAAATGATTATAAATTACTATTAACATCATATTTTATTGATTAATAATAATAATAACAATAACACTTCTTCATTAGATGTAAAAATTCTATAATTTTATTCAATTTTCACTTTACTCAAGTCAACTTCATTGATCATTTCAAATTGTTCCTTAGGAGGCTGACAATCAACTTGTTTTTGATAATAAATATTTATCTTTTCAAAAACTCCAAACTCAACTAACAAGACATCAAATATCTTGACACCTGAGGTACAATTAGAAAAGTTGACTTCAAACGCAGGTGGATGATAACTATTATTTTTAAAATATTTTCTACACTCCGGTTTGTTTTTGTCGACAATTATTCCGACTGCATACGATGTATCAGGCTTAAAATGTAACGTTGCAAAATCAAACGAACATTCGTAGGTGAATCTTCCTTGTTCCTGTAGAAATAAATGTTTTAAAAATTATTAACGAATTCGCCTTTAAATAAATAATACTTACGAGTTCAATCAGAAAATCTCCCAGATACAGAGCGTCAGAGTACGCAAAAAGAAGCGCTAAGGTGAGTAAAGTTCTTTCAATATAGACTTTCATTTTATGCTTAAAAAAGATTCAAGTATAAGTCTCGAAAATAAGTGATTAAAAAATTAAAAATAATGAATTAGACGGTGTCTTTTATATTTATTCTGTTATATATACATCCACAGTCATCGCTCTTTTGTAGATTATTCACGGTAATTTTCACTTAATCTATCAGTTTTATAACAAAGTAAAGAATGTTAGATGCTAGTATATAGCTAACTCTACATTATTTTTAGCACTTGATCATAGTATTTATTGAGATATTATTTTTTATTTTAAAGACAATATATTTTTAATGATAATGAATTTTCCACTTTAACTATAAATGCAAACTCGTAAAATGAAAAAAAAAAAAATCTCTACAAGGCTAACTTATGTTGTAAACTATAATTGTACATTTTCAATAGTTAATTATTATTGCAAATAATTAAATAAATCTTTTAATCTATAAGAAAATTTTTTTTATAATATTTATTCAAAATGAACGCATCAAATTATAGATCAGTGGTAAAATAGGTGATTTTATTAAATTTTTTTTTTTTTAATTATGGATTTTGATACATTGAATTTAATAAATAAAAACATGTTAAAACAAATATATTGATTCTGTATATATTTCATAATATTGTTTATTTTGTGCGTTATAGCATACTATGAAATAATATTCATAGCAGCTAATAATTTTTATTTTCGAAATTATTAAGTTTGTTCGATATTGATTGTCTGATAAATAATGCTTGTGATATTTCATTTATTAATATTTGGTTGCCGTAATATTTTGTCCGGGGATATTAACGCACGTAACCGGTAAAATTACATAAATTAAAAAAAAATAATAAACTAAATATTCATAAAAAAATATAAATAAAATTAACTATATAATTAAAATTAATTAATTGACGCATAAAATAGCTTTAAGAAAGAAAAAAAACCAAGAAGTCTGATAAAACCCATCGTTTCATAGCAGCCTCTAATTTGGCATTAGAAAACCCAAAAAATTATTTAATAAATGAATTCGTTAATTAATCTTGTAAAATAACCTGTAACATTCTGGATTTTCAAGTGAATCATTTTTATAATTTTTTATTCCCGGTTAGCCTCGTTAGGATCTCAATATATCTTAGGTGAGCCTGTTGCTCAGCTCTCCCTTAAATTTAAGAAATTCAAGAAAATAGGTGAGATTAGTCTAATTGGGACATATCGCGCTACAGATGCCATAAAAGGGCGTATAATTTTTATACGCTCTTATGGCACCCAGGAATCATAAGGGCATATAATAAAAATTCTATTTTTTTTTTCAAGTCCAAAAAAAATTTTTAATCTGAAGAAAACTTTTTTTTGTGCATTTCTGCACGTTTCATACAAAAATACGTCGGCTCTCAAGAAAAAAATTTTTTAAACACTCTTAAGGCTCCCGGGACCCACCTCGGATGCCATAAGGGCGTTATAAAAAATGTTTTTTTCCAGAATCAATGTATTATTATATGAAAAAAAACAAAACAGAATTTTTATTATATGCCCTTGTGGCTTTTCACCGGGACCTTTTGCTGGTATACACTCTTATGGCATCTGGAACGCGATATGTCCGGGGCCGAAGATATTCATCGGTTAACTGTTCTGGATTTTCATTCAGTGTTCAAAAAAATTATAATAATTAATAAAGTAGATAAATTTTATTCATCACCAACAAAGCAGTAACAATTTTAAAAATTAATTAATTTTGACGGGAACGTTACAAAATATAGTTGTGATTTCTTCATCGATGTATTGAATTTACCAATCCACTAAAATAATTTAATTAAGAGTGCAGCAAAATTAAAATATTTTAATGTATTTATACATTAATTTTAGTAATTGTAGTATTTCATCTGATTTTTTTTAGAAACCAGATTAGTTTTTACAAAAATTAATCATTTTATCTGATAAAAATATTTTATTACTGTAATCAGCGTTAAGGGTTAAGACTTTGAATATAGGGACGATATTTTCCAACTACACTATTAATAATTTTCTAAAGCTATATAGTGTATGGTTTATTATTTATACATTATATCAATAATTCTAATCTTATTTAATGATAGTATATGAGATTATAATGACGATAATAATATAGTAACAATAACATATACAGTGGCAATGAAATATAACTGTTTCGAGGCCACTAGTACGCCGAAATGTACTTTAAAAATAAAAATAATTTTCTGGTGATTTTAGACAGGCTGCACTTGACAAGGGGAACATTGGTCGTATCGAAAACATGAACTACACCCCCAAGAAATTAATTAAAAAAAAAAATTGACACTGGCCTAGTTGTTTGACACTTGCAAGTTTATTTTAATTATGTAAAAAAATAAAATGTTATCAAAAAATCAACTATCTTAAAATTTATAATTAAAAAATTAAATTTATTATTTTATTTTTTTTTTTAATTAAAATAAATTTGCAAGTGTCGATAACTGGTCCTTTTACCTTATAATCAGACTATTTAACTATTAGGACTGTGCAATAATTTAGTTAGAATTAATTTTTCTAGTCTACTTTCCGCTCTTTAAAATTTGCAGAAAAATATTAAAAATTGACAAAAAATTTTTTTGTTCGTGTGATAATTAGCTTTTTAAAATTTGTAATATAATAATTTGAAAAATAGACTAAGAAATGTAAAATAATATACAGAAGGAGGATAAAATTCAAGTCCATTAATGATAAATTCATGAACCCAGAAGTGAATTGAAGATACTTGAGAAAGTAAATAAGTATAATAATTCCTCAAAATATTTATTTTTGAAATTTATGAGAGACCACTCGGAATATCCACTTCTCATGCCATCCGGCTTAATGCCTGGAAGGTGAACGATCATCGATGACTGAGTTCTTAACCATCGTCCAGACCTCAGTCGTCCTCACGCTCAGAGAAGAGGATTATACCTCGTCATCGTGGCTGTATCGACTCCACAATTGAGTAGAGAGGATGTGAAGATATACTACAGAAATGATCCTGTGAAGTATGATCTTAATTATTGTCAATTTTAAAATAGCTTATAATATGTATATTACAAGTATCTTAAGCCGAACAAAAAACCTTCATTTTCGCCACCTACATTGTCTAAGACGAAACTCTGCGCATTTTATGAGTGCGTTGAAATATAAATTTATAGTTCACACGTTCAAGTACTTTATTCTCAAAACCTGCATAACTAAGATCAATTTAAATATTGTTAATATCAATTAATTTATACAATTTTTTTCTTAAAACAATTTTTTTTTTTATAAAATAAATTACTATACTTAATTCAATAAAAAAAAATTTATATGTATGAAAATTAACGAATAAAGACTTGAGTAGTTAAATATAATTTATTATACTTATATATATATATATATATATATAATTATATAAATATAATTAATAGATATAAAAATCTAAAATAATTATATTTTTAATGAAATTCATTGAATTATTATTGATAGTAGGGTAAATGCACCAATTATTGACCGATTAAGGTTTTCTTTTTCTGTACTAAGCTATAAAAAATCTATTAACCTACTAAAACCAATTTATAATAGATTTTATTAAAGTTAAATATTTACTTAATAATAATTAATAACTATTTATAATAAAAATTAACAAAATTATATTAATTTTGTTATTTGAATCTTGAAATACTAAAATCACCAATTATTGACCGAAGAAACCCAATAAATGACCGACCGTTCTCCAATTAATTGACCGCTCAAATAATTATAAGTAATTTTGTAAACTACATGTATGTAATTAAATATATGCAGTACTTTTAAAGTATTAACGACATCTTTAACAAAACTAAACACACAATATAATTTTAAATCGTACTTTTTTATAAAATAATATAAACAATAGCAATAATTAACATAAAGTCAAATTTCTTTAGGTCACAAATAATCACAAATTCATTTTAATGACGATAATTCTTCTGATTAACTTAAAATTTTTTTATTCTTCTCCTTCTTTCTTTCAATTAAAGCTTTTTTACTAGCTAGTAACTCTTTTTTATTTTTTTAATTGCTCAGCAATTTTTTCTTCTAATAATTCGTTCTTTGACATAACCGTTCACTAAAAAAATTACAACAAAATAAAATTTAATAATCAAAAAAGATTTTAAATATTATTTTAATTATAAATATACATTTTATAACGATTATTTTTATATTTACAAAATATTGAATGACTAAAGTACTTTAAACACTTAACAGATTTAATTTTAAGGTTGAGAAGTTAGTATTATAAATATACGGCCATTAATTAGATTGTGATAAAATCAGAGAGTCTAATAAATGACCGAATGAATTTTTCACTGGGTAAAGAGCTTCTGACGGATCCAATAGTTGACCGGTCTTAAAATAATATTAAAACATAATTTAACTTTATTTTTTCAAAAAAGTTAGAATCTGATCTTTAATTAACATAATAAAAATAAAATATTTTATATTATGCCGATAAATATAACTAAATTAATGATGAAATGCTCTCACTCTCCAATTGTACGCTAGTTATTTTTGACCGCTTTATGACTGGTT